ACCAGCTGCTGCAGCACTTGACCGTGCAGGAGAAGTAGGCCTGGACTCTTGCAGCAGCAAGGAACAGCCCCCAGCAGAGGTCAAGTGTTTCAGCAGAGACCTTGATCTCAGCCATTCATTCCCAGGAACCAGGAGCCAAAGGGTGACCTGGTCCCTGGCAGTGGTGATGTATGAACATGGCTAGAAATAGCCCACCTCCACGCTGCACACCGCAGCTTGCACAGCCAGAAGCAAAGTGTGCTGTACCTCTGCTGCACAAAGCCTGGTGTTCCTAGGGTGGACTCATCCAGCAAAATTTTACTGGGAATTTTTTGGATACATGAAATATGCTATAGGAGAGAGTGAGCCAAGCACAAACTTAGCCAAGCTCGGTCTAGAAAGTTTCCTTCCCTGCCAAGTGAGTGCTTGGGTTGCATTTTCCTGGAGCAACGATGACCTCCAGTGGACAGCCGGGTAAATCCCCCAGGAGTTTCCTCTGAGCATCCCTGCTCTTGTCTCTGGCGGTGAAGGGCAGTGTCATGAGCTGCCCCTCTGCTTGGCTCCCCTGCAGCATTACCGAGCCAGCGCTCCTGGGTTCAGCCTGTTGGTCTGTGTCACGGGCGTTAACTTCTCTTCTCCCCTCCTTGCTCTTAAGTAACATCCAGCCAAGGTGCTGGGGCTGCTTAGAAGTGGAGACCAGGTTTGGAGCAGAACAGGTCTCGGGGGGCATGAGAGTGAGGGGCGGGTGGGAGCAAGGGGCTCACTGCAGCATCTGCACTGCCAGCCAGGTTCAAATTCAGGGGCTGCAGAGGCAAAGCTCCCTCCAGGCCAGAGCAGAGCTGAGCCGAGCTCTGTTAAACTGGCGTTGTGCTGTGCACAGGGCTCAGCCTTCTGGTTGTGGCTGGTGCAGAAAGTCGGTTCGAGTTACACACCCAACCTGGTGGGGTTTGTTCCCTCTCCTCTTGTTTCAGCTCCTTGATCTGAAGATATTTGTGGACACGGACTCAGACATCCGCTTGGTGCGTCGCCTGCGCAGGGACATCAGCGAGCGTGGCCGGGACATCGAGGGTGTCATCAAGCAGTACAATAAGTTCGTCAAGCCCGCCTTCGACCAGTACATCCAGCCCACCATGCGCCTGGCCGACATCGTTGTGCCCCGAGGTACCTGCCCAGGGCTGCCCCGAGGCTCAGTCCTGAGTGGGACCTGAGACACCCTGTCCCTCTGCTCTGGACAGTCCCTGGTGAGGGCAGAAGAGGGGCTGTCCCATCCCAATGCAAAGGTCCCTCCAGCCCAGTGTCTCCCAACACTGGCTCAAAGCAGGTTCCTTGGCGAAAGTCTGCACTTTTACCTCAACCAGACTCCTACTCTACCAGCTCCTGAAGCTGAGCGATTTAAAAGCCAGAGGTGACTTCTAGATATTCAATAACAGATTACTAAATAGGCATTTAATAATAGCAGGCATATCTC